ATTTTGCGGCATTTTAATTGTTTTTAATGTTAAGTAATACATTTTTTATACTCTGTACAGCGTATATTAAGTTTGCCACGAAGTTTGTAACATTCAGAGGGAAACCTGAAGAAACTTTCTAGATAGCTCTACTAAAGCATAAAGCTGCCATACAAACTGAACGATCAAAATCAAGTTCTTGTATGGAAACTTCGTTATTTGTGAATGATATTCCAGCTTCGGTGTATTTAAAGTAACTTTTTTTCTTGTTATGCCTTTCAATAGTATAAGCTCTAGTGAAAAGAAATTCATTATTTTTGGAATAAACTGAAGATTTTATATAGCAAAGCTAGAATGATCCGATTAGATCAAATTTGCGATTTTTTGTTTGTAACTTGTTGCCATTTCGAAGGTAATTTCATAACGTCCCTCTCACACACAATAGAAACTAACGCCCTAACAAAAAAACCGGTGGCAGTTGATTTTCGCAAGCTTCTCTTAAGACGAATTTTTTTATCAGCAAAATCATTCGCCATAGACAGTAGCAGGAGGTAATCACTTGTTGAAAGGGCCAGATTATAAGGTGAATGCATAAGAATGAATTAAGAATTTGTCTTTCAGGTAGCTCAAAGTAAATGATTCCTTGCGAAAACCACCAAACACATAGCAAAATTTTCTGGACCGTCAATTCTGGCTTGTTCGGAGAACTTTTTTTGCTATGAAATTTTATTTTTCTAACGTCATATTTCCTTCTTAAATGCGAAATATAGAATACTGAAGCCATATATTGGAAGAATAATGGATTGTCACGCTTAGTCGTTACACCTTTCGTACAACGGCACATTTACCTTAGCCATCGTATATTTTTATCAGCTTATTGAGGACAATAAATAGAATATGGTTATATATACATTACCAACTATTTATGATATTAGTTGGTAATATGTATATAACCATATTCTATTTGAAGAACGGCGTCAATAAAGTGGCGCACTTGATATCGAAATATTAAACACATAAATAACATTGTTTTATGGTCTGCATTTAAGTTGATGACTTACTTCAAAAATAGTGTAATGGTTGCTGTCATATAATATAATTGGCATAGTATTTATTCGGATGTACAGTATTGCAATTTCATAAAACTTTTAAAGCATATTAATTCATTTGGTCTGCATGTTTCATTATAAAAGTATGTTAGCTAATGCTACAAAGATCGGTTGTTTATTTTTAATTTTTTTAATATGTTATAGGTATGTATAAATTTTTTTAAATATTGGCTCTGTCTGTCCGTCCGTCCACCTGTTCGTGCAAGCGATAACTAGAGTAAAAATTGAAATTTCTCTTCCGCAGATATTTCATATTATGCCCAAAAATTGTCGAACTCGGGCTATAACTTTTCAAGGAGGCAGACACCAAATATGTGGACCCTAGTTTGTCAATCTGTATGGTCTAATATTTAAACTCGGTGAGACTATTTTTGTGATGACAGCATGTTCTTGTGCCAAAAATGGATAAAATCGGGTGAATATTTTCCGCAACCCACATATACCTAATATAAATATTTTCGAGCTCCGTTTGACTTTATACCGCATTTATCGGTCAATATGTAAGAAATCCTAATAAATTTTAGAAAGAATCTCTTTCTACGAACGGTGTGTCATCTTGCCTAAAATGGATCAAATCTCCTAGTTTAGTTTAAAGTTTTGCCAATACCTTAAAGTATTTCCTTGCGAGAGTATAAAATGTGCGGTCACACCCGAACTTGGCACTTTCTTACTTGCTATTTATACATATCTTATATAATTGCTCGATTTTATAATTTTTTTATTATAGTTAATATAAAAGGAATTTTGAATAAAATGATAAAATAATATTTAATATAAATTATTGTAAACAATTTCATAAGCATAAAAGAAAACGCAGCGCTAGCATCAAAGACTTTCAGCTATACTCTGAAATTCATTTTTTAGCCCTCGTAGTAATGCAGATAACCCAGCCAGTTACAATTGTACCTCTCAATATTACATCATTCATATACATACATACTTACTCGTACATAGGACGGCAAAAATATTTATAAGAGCAGTGGTCATACAAATATGAATGATTGTAAAATATTTTGCGATAAGATAAGCAGTGCAAATACATGCATACAAATGCAAGTACATATACATAACATACAAATATATAAGTATGTATGTATATAGCACAAACAATATTTATCAACATTAAATTACTTGGCTTAGTTTCGGTCTTGCAAAACTAGGTGCAAACCTACATGCATGTATCTATCCACATATGTATGTACATACCATACATATATACTTGTATAATATATGTGTCTGCTAAAGAAATGTTTATCGCGTGCAACAGCGATGCCGGCGTCGATAACATAAATTATTTTTACGCATATAAAATAGGTGACTAAATACTTTGCCATTGGAAATGACTAACTAACGATGATAATGCGCATATTTAGGTGTGTAAAAGCACTTATGTATATACAAGTATGTATATAGTAGCAATAAATCACATACATGTACAGACTGCCAGCAAATAAATTATGCTTTAAATTTATATAATAAGTATAATTTACGTACATATGTGTATACTTGGCTTAAGTTAGGTTACCTATATATATAAAAAATTTAGGTGAAAGCGTTTAAAATTTTAACTTTTTACTCTAACATTTCATTGGACTACACGATCATATGACATACATACATATGTACATTCATATGCACACTCATTGAGACTTCAAAGGTGAGTGCTAGATTAATATAGAAATACTAACACAAAAAACAAATATACATATACTTTCTATATATGTAAATAAATATACTTTTATATTATATACTTAAATATACAAATATTTATGTACATATATGCGTGCTTATTTTCATATTTATAATTTAGTAACGAAATTGACAAGAAGGTTGTTTTAGCATAATCGATTACACATTCCTTGAAATGTGGTTTAAGACAGCGCTGATCACATACGCTGTAGTAAATAGATCGTGCCGTATTTTGTTAGATTGTGATAGTATTATGCAGTTCACGTTTCATTTAAATCATTACAGCAACAGCTGATGGACGAACGTAAACAAATAAACGTGACGCGTGTATGAATGAAATCAAATGAATATTCCGTAAAAAAGGGACAATAGTACAAAAAATAATGAAAATAGAAAATATGTACATATTTTTTTTGAATTAAAACAAGAAAAAACGTTAACTTCGGTTGCACCGAAGCTATAATACCCTTCACAAATACAAAGGCTCCTTACAATTACTTGATTCTGATAGTTCAATTTGTATGGCAGCTATATGATGTAGTGATCTGATCTGAACAATTTCTGCGGAGATTACATTGTTGCCTTATACAACAACCTGTGCCTAATTTCGTGACGATAACTCGTCAATTAAAAAAGTTTTCCATGCAAACACTTGATTCCGATTGCTCAGTTTGTGTGCTAGCTATATGCCACAGTGGTCCGATATCGACCGTTTCGACAAATGAGCAGCTTCTTAGTAAGAAAAGGACAGGTGCAAAATTTCAGATCGATAGCTTAAAAGCTGAGGGACTATTTTGTATATATACAGACAGACGGACAGACAGACGTGCTGACCATTTATGTATATAGTTTCCTTCTAGGTGTTACAGAAACTTAATATACCCTGTTCAGGGTATAAAAATAATAAACTTTGCATTGAAAGTGGGTTAAGCACACACAAAGAGCAAAAAAACCCCATTCATTTTTTTAAAGACGTAGTTGAGTTACATATCGAATAGTATTGTTATAGTAAATATTCAGGCAAGTTCCAGAAGCCGAATTAAATTGATATGGCTTTGTTTTTACAAACCGAATGATTTCGTTTATTTCGCATCGAAATATCTGTTTGAAGCAAATGTCATTTGTTTTCATGGTAATATGTAAATAATTTATTTTCCAAAAATTTAAAATTTCTCGAATAAACATGAGTGCTGCCGTGAGAACATTACAAAATAAAGGCTTCATGTTATAAAGCATTCGTAGACATTAAAGATATAAGTCAAATCCGTTTAAAGTTGCTGTTGTACGGTTGAATACCATTATTGACTATTTTATATTTGTGGTTAGCTTTGTATCATATTAGCGAGAACGTAACACCTTATATGAAAGGCAGCAGAGATTTCACTTTCTCTGCAACAGGAAGCAGTCGTTTAATTAGGAAGAAGCAACATTCCAAAAGTACTTAGTTGACTAATAGAGGTTTCAGAACCCACATTGTTTCCAGGGTTTTCCAATAAGAGTGATATGATTGTTTTTCCTTTTTAACTAAATTCAAATGTTTCTTATTTAATATGAAGTACAATCTCTACAATTAAGTTTTGAATATAATATTATTCAAATGGCTTCCATGACTACTTTTGCAGGAACGAATTCGATTAACCCAATTTTCGAGTACTTTTTCCACTAAATCAAATCGTATGTCTTAAATAGCACGATCAATATGGACTTCTGAAGCTTGAAGAGAGTCTGGCTTATTGCTAAAGACCAATAACTTCAAATCACCCCACGAGAAGTAGTCTAATGGTGTTAAATCATAACTTCTTGAAGGCCATTCAATGTCACAATTTCTTGAAATTATTGAATCTCCAAACTTTTCAAACTTCGCAATAATTCGGTTGTTGCACGTGCTGTGTGACACGTAGCGTCGTCTTGTTGGAACTGGCTGTTGTCAAAATCAACTTCTTCCAATTGCGGCTATTACAAGTTGGTTGCCATCGATCTATACTGCTCTCCATTGATAGTAATGGTGTCACCAGCTTCATTTCGAAAGAAGTACGGACCGATGATTCCACTAGACAAAAAATCACACCAAACTGTCGATTATTTCCAATATGATCAGGCGCCCAGGCGAGTCTGATAATAAAGTATAGTAATGCTATTGATAGTGAGGACCGACACTTCTTAACTAAGTTTGAGCGCACAGTAAGCGAGTATTACCGGTGTGCTGTCGGAGTGAATGCTCACCTCACTGAAGGAAGACTGAACTTCTCGGCAGTACGTCTACCGCCACCTTATAGCAGCCACTTCTGCTTGAAAAATACAAGAGTGATGTGGTATGCTTAAGCTAAAATTAATGGAGAGCTCTTACCAAAAACACTCTCGTCAACCTTCCTCCGCCCACTTATTCTTTCTTAGCATCTGCGGAGAAAAGAAATCACAAGATATACATTTTTCGTTTTCAAATTACATTTAAATATGTGAATTTGGTTTTAAGAAGAAGGTATTTCATTTCGAAATCGCTTCAAAAAATTATTCGATATCTGGAACAGGCAAATTCGATTTTCACTTTGTTTTTATGTGAAAATTAAATACAGATAATGGCTGATTACTTAAAAGGAAAAATTCAATGTACATCGCATTCAAAAGCTGAGAAAAATTCTAAACATTGGGCCGACTAGTTAATTTTTGAAGCGTTGAAATTTTTAAAAATCATAACTCCAAAATATTTTGTATGAGTCGAAATAAATTACGTGTTTTTGACTTAAAGAACATAAAAAAATGTTTTGCCCGAAAAAAATGTTTGAGTGCAAATTTTGTATGGAATAGCTCATTTACAGTCTAGTTTTGTAGCAAACCTGGCACGTCTTCTTTTCATTCATTTTAATAGAGGGTTGATATATTTAGAAGTTAAATTTTAACTACAACACTGTATATCCTCTTTATATATTTTTTATATTATATTAAAAATTTATTTATATTAAAAATGTTTCAGCAGAATGGTGAATCTTGCTAGCTGGTAGTATTAAGGTCACCTGGCAGTATATCAAAAAACGGCGGCTCTAAGAAATCGAATAACGTCATAAACGAAATGAACTGTCAAACTGCTATATAAATTGTAAACAAGGTTATAAGGTTTTACCATGAGTTAACTAAACGATGTAGTTTTTGTCAAACGAACTCTAAAAAAAAGTAACATAAAGAAACTGGCGTTATCTCTATTTCTATCACTTTTGACTTGATCCAATAGCATAGACTCAAGCCAACCAACTAACAATACAAAGTAGAAATCACTTTCGTTTTTAATGACATGAAAACATTAGTATCTAATTATAGCTGTGCTCTAGCTCGTAAACAGCTCGGCTATAAATCGGTTACTTATGATTCTAAAATCGTGATGTGTAGTTGCTCACGTTTCTACGCTACAAAACAAATAGTGATCTGAGCAGTAACAACTTGAATAAAAATAAGAAAGCTTTTATACGTAATATAAATAGAAACGATTGCCGTTGAATCATTGCTAGTGACCTGACTTTTTGGGATTGCTCAAGCCACTTGACAGCAAGACAATAAAAATACCTCATAATTTGTACACGTACTCTCACTGAATAAATATTTAATCAAGCTCTATAAGGATTCTTATTGCGAATGTCATTATGATATACTGTATTTACGATGTTCTATATAGCTGTATTTACGATGTTCTATATAGCTGTACTCAAGTGCTTTTATGTAATATAATATGTACAAGCCTATCTGAAAAAATTGTAGCGTTTTGTTAAATTATTAATCTTGTTATCATTTTTTTTTTTGTTTTTCAATCGGTAGTCGAATATGTACACATACAAGGATAAGAACATTATGACATAAGTCAAGATGTACTTACGTATTAAATTTCAAATACATTTGACGCAATACGCTTAGAATCATGGACATTTAGCGTAAAACGTGAATCATCATATTTTATTATATATATATATATACATATATATACCTACATAGATTACGGTGTGACCATATTTAATGGCCAACACCTGCGTTATTTGCACTAACTTTTTGCCAGACATACCGATGTTTACATATTTATAGAACGCATTGATGCCCAACCCCATGAATGAGGTCGAATACGCATGTGTTTGTAGTGGTAAATAATCTTGTCGTTGCATGTTTGTTGTTGTTGTTGTGATTTTTGCGCTTAAGTGTAATTGCATTTTGCAATTAATTGCAAATGGAGTAGCGAGACTGACATTAGCCAATTGAATACAAGGATCCAGTCCATATGACTATGACGGCAATAAACATGCAATGCAGACATACTTACATACATTTGTACATATAACAGTATATGCATACATACTTGTACGTAAGTATATATGTATTCATACACTGTTACATGCAGTCGTTTTCATTGATTTAGTGATTGATTTGCGAAGCAAATAAAAGTTTTCGTTGATGATTTAACCATACCACTCCCAGCAGATCCACTACTGTCTACTCCACGGAAAATACGAAACTAAGCAATAAAATATAGATATTTTACATAAATTTAGGATTCAAATTATGTCTAATATATTTTTATATTATAATTTTTCCACAATATTTCAATAACATTCATTACAATATGCAAAAGTGTGACACGACGTATACTTAATCTATCTGTCAACATTCAATAATCCTTCAATGAGGGCATTTCGAAGTAACAAAACGATTGATGTGACGAGAGGTGCATGTGTTTTAATTGATTTGTGTCATGTTTTCATACTGTTTAGGAAATGAATCATAAGTTTTTTATTAGATATAATAATTTTGAATAAGGCGATATGCGCTTAGAGGCAAAGTGTGATCAAAAAATATTTTTTATTTTTATTTCTATTATATTATCAATCTATTATTTTTAAATATATATTTATATATTTTTTTATTACTTTTCGACTAGCGGCGAAAATACGAAGCTTTATGGTATTCACTGATATGCTCCAGCTAGTTCAATATACTTTCGTTTTTGCACCATTTTTGGAGGCTTTATTGTTTAGTCTGAATGAGACAAATCTATTGGAAATCATAGATTTGTTTTTGATCTTGAATATTGTTATTGAAAAAACAATAAAAGACATCGTTCTAGCAATTTAGGGGTTATTTCGAAAAAGAAAACCCTTTGACAATGCCGATGTCTTTCAGAACTTGTTTTTTGGTATTGAAATTTGTTGCAACATTTGTCGGTATTCCCAATTAGCAAGAAGAAAATATACAAATTTCCTGTACAAATTAGACGTCAATCTGTATCAAAAGCAGACCGAAAAAATGAAAATTTAACAATTTAATATTTATATTATATTAGAAATTTTCATAACTTCCTAGAGCCGTAAGTGTCTCCTTCCTCTTCTTCGTACAGTTCTAAAATGTTAACCGAAGGTAAAATACCCTTGACAAAACAAAATATTCCTTACAAGTACTTGATCCCGATCGTTCTGTTTGTATGACAGCTATATACTATAGTGATTCGATCTAAACCATTACTTCGGATTGCACTATTATCTTAGGTATTTCTTGAAGATGTCTCGTCAAATGAAAAAGTTTTCCATACAAGCATTTGACTCCGATCGTTCAGTTTGTATTGCAGCTATATGCTATAGTAGTCCTATATCGGCGTTTCCAACAAATAAGCAGCTTCTTAGTAAGAAAAGGACAGGTGCAAAATTTCAGATCGATACCTAAAAATCTGAGGGACTAGTTCGAGTATATACAGATAGAAAGACAGACATGGCTAAACTGACTCAGCTCTTTTCAGGGTTGTCAGGGTATAAAAACAATGTAACTTTTAGTGCCTCAACTTCGATGCAGCCAAAGTTAATGATTTTTATACTCTCGCAACCTGTTGCTACAGAGTATAATAGTTTTGTTCACCTAACGGTTTGTATCACCTAAAACTAATCGAGTTAGATATAGGGTTATACATATATAAATAATCAGGATGAAGAGACCAGTTGAAATCCGGGTGACTGTCTGTCCGTCCGTCCGTCCGTCCGTGCAAGCTCTAACTTGAGTAAAAATTTAAATATCTTTATGAAACTTGATAAACATGTTTCTTGGTACCGTGAGACGGTTGGTATTGCAGATGGGCGTAATCGGACCATTGCCACGCCCACAAAACGCCATTAATCAAAAACAAATAAATTGCCATAACTAAGCTCTGCAATAGGATACAAGACTGTTATTTGGTACACAGGATCACATTAGGGAGGGGCATCTGCAGTTAAATGTTTTTTTTTGAGTGGGCGTGCTTTAATAACAAAATTCACTGGAAGCAAGTGTTTCTAGAACTTCTACCTACAGTCTGAAAATAGTTGAAATCGGGTGGCAACTCCGCCCACTCCCCATATAACGGTACTGTTAAAAACTACCAAAAGCGCGATAAAGAGACATTAAATTTTATCTCTGGGATGGTATGTGATAACTTTATAAAAACCGCGTTCAAAATTGGACAGTGGGCGTGGCACCGCTCAATTTTAGGTGAAAACCTATATCTTGGGATATGCTTAACCGATTTCAACCAAATTCGGTGTGTGACGTTCTTTTTATATTTCTATGTCATAGTTCGAAAATGGGTGAAATCGGACTACAACCACGCCTTTTTCCCATATAACACCATTTTCAATTCCATCTGATTCTTTCACATTCCAGTATGCAAATCAAGCAACAATGAGTGTATCGGGGTAAAACTTTGCGTGAATAATGCCTTTAAAGTATGCCACCTTGTGACCAAAAATTGTCTAAATCGAACCAAAACTGATCAAGCCCCTAAGTACTAAATATATGGACCCCAGTGCCTATAGTTGACCTTCTACCGAAAATATCAGTCAATCCACAAAGAAATCTCAAACGAGTATACTATTTGACTTTGCGAGAGTATAAAATGTTCGGTTACATCCGAACTTAGCCCTTCCTTACTTGTTCTTGTTGTTTTTGTGTTTTTTTATTTGTTTGTTTTTATTACGACCAAAATAGCAGATAACCTCAAAGTCGTCTAAACACGGCAGCGTATTATTGTGATAAAATGTAGAACAATTAGGCTATTTTTCACACTTGTTAGCGAGTACTTCAAGACCGTTACCATTTTAATTGCAAATCTTTTTGTTTCTATCGTTCACACATTCTCGCCAATGAAAAGAAAAAAAATCGAACACAACCAATTCGCTAAAAAATTAATATTGCGCAATATTTGCAGGCATATACTGCACATGTATTATATCTTTGGTAAAATGATTTCATTTAAATTACACAAATAAATCGATAGTCGATATAATCTCTTATTGCCTTATAGGCATTGGCCAAAATTGTAGCACGTGCGCTTATTATCTACGAAAAAATTTTATAGCGAATGAATACAGAAGTTATAGCCGATAATTTCATGTCTGAGTAATTGATCGTATGAAAGCAATATGTTATAGTTAGCATATAAGATATAATTGGCTCACTTAACTACCATATATATTATAAAAATGCATTTGTATATTAAATTTCTCCACACTATGGAAGTGAAATATCCTTTAAAGGGCAAAATCATCCGGTGTAAAAAAGTTGGACTGCTGGAGTAAAGGGAATTATATAGAATATATGTGGTAGTTATATGGTTCTAGTAGGGGCCTGCTGCATTCCATTACTTGGAAATGATTGTCAAATGAAGTTAGGCATTCTTTTGTTTTACTCAGAACAGAGAATTTGTTCCTACATATTTTGGTTTTTTCTATTTTATAGGATTTCTTTATACATTCTGCTTTTTTTACCTACAAAAAGCTGATTCAAAGATTATGTAAGCTGGTTAAGTGTAATTTTGATTGCTAAATTTTTTACTACTTTAGAATTATCGGCACAAAGCAGAAGATAATTACCCTTCTGAGGTCATAACCATTAGTCTTAAGCTTTGATAGCTCCTTAATTGAATTTTCAGCTTTGCTCATTGACTAAATTGGTCACTGTCTGAAGCCTTTATTAAAAATATTCCTACAGGGAACTTATATTAGCAATCTAATAGAACAAAAAAACGTTTTTGGAATACAATATTTTTTGTTTGTTTTACTTTCCGGTCGAGTAAATTACGAAATGCACAAGAGATATATATTTGAATAAACAAATTTGATCTAATTATAAAGTAAGCTATTTGCAGAGAGCAAATATATTTTGAATACACTCTTGCATCTGTAAACAAGTATATTGTTTACAACAACAATATATGTACTTATGGTAATACCATATTTCTACTTAAGTTGCATATTTGATCTCATTTATTATTGCAATAATTTAGCGATAATATGCAAATGTCTTGAATGCAATATTTAATTAAATAGCAATAAGTACTGGAATTCCTTAAATGTTAATTTTTTATTTCGTATATTATTAGTCTCCAAAGAGGAATAGGAAGGTATAAAAATACATATGTATGCATATAATTTATGACGATGAATTTAATATTTTTCATACACGCTCAGCATAGCTTAAACACAAGCTCGCCTTGATGCTCGGTGTATGTTGAAGAGATTGCAGATTTCTGCTTCAGTTTGCTTACACAAGCAAAAAATATATTCAAGATCTGTGTATACGTTTGGCAAATCAAGCGGTAAAGATAACAGTTGGATATATTTACATGTACATATATATACGAGTATACTCAATAGAAAGCAAACTGAGAATAATACTACAAGACTGCGCTGAAATCGGGCGAAGATTCAAGATTTTCATTTAAGCAGAACCTGTATCCCAGATGTCAACTAATTACTACAAAAATAAGGATTCAAAAGCTCCCGGTACTATGACTACATGTTTGTTAACTTCTGCTGCACACAAAGCTGTAATACCCTCACAGTTGCATAGCATAAAAGGTTATATAAATATCTTATTTTAATTTTGATAGGTCAGATTGTATGTTAGCTACATGCTATAGTAAACCGATCTCAATAATATGTTAGAAGATTATAGCGTTGTATTGGGTAATAATCTATGCCAAATTTCGTGAAGATATATTGTGAAATAAAAAAGTTTTCCATGCAAGGACTTGATTTTGACCGATCGGTTTGTATGACAGCTATATCCTATCGACACACCAATTATTTATATATACACGTTTTATGGTCTACGACGTTTCCTTTTGGGTGTTACAAAGTTCGTGGCAAACTTAATATACCCTCTTCAGGATATAATTTGTAAAAAAAAAGGTATTTGCGAGTTGAAAACGTTTATAGTAAGTGAAATAGTATAGTGTATTACATTGCAGTATAGTATTTCTATGAAGAAATATCTACAATCGGTTCAGACATTACATTTTTCTTGAAATTATATTGATATATGTATCTTGAAAGCAGAATAATACCAAAAAATTAAATTATTACTGTGATTGTAATCACTGTTCTGAAATCCAACCTAGAATCACTTTTGCCAACGAAAACGACTTTGGGCTATATATGCAATTAAGTAGCAGTGCTCTTTTGATGAATAAAATACTTTATAAGTCTACTGATAGACTCGCTCCACCTTGTATTTAACTATACCTATAGTGTAGAAAAATTGATTATGCCAAATTTGATAAGACTGCTGTGGGAGTGTTCAGAGAAAGTTTCTGCTAATTCAGCTTTAAATATAGCAAGCAATCCATTATAGTAACTATAATCCATTATAAGCTGAACTATTTGGCTTAATGTTATAAAAAATCAGCGACTCTGTAGGTTGAGATGTTGTAGGAGTCAGGATCTCCTTGCTATTGGTGGCAGAGGAAAAGAGAATTTTTACATCAAACAGACTAATTGGAGAAGAGCGCTGTTTCAAATTAGAATTAAAAATCTATAAACCACAGATGACACTAGAACCAAAATATATCTCAAATCTCACATACATAAACTCAATACATACATACATTCCGCATTGCCCTATTTGTCTACAGAAATCGTAGAAAATATAGAAAATATCATTGTTAATAAACAAGTCTCAGCCTTAGCGATTGCTTCCAACCATTCTATTGATATACTCGTATTAGAACAGGAAAAGTAGCTGTGACCCAATCTTCAGCTTAATATGCATAACTCAAAGCCTAATTCTGTATGTACATATCATATAATTTTTTTTATTCAAAACATGTATGTAGTTATGTGTGGTTTCAATGAGCTTAGACCTTCCTTACTTTCATATTTTATACTGACACTTGGGGCTTTTTATTCAATATTTCTCAATATTACTCAGATGTATATATGATGATTTAATTTACTTACTATAAAATTAGCAATTGCAATCCGGTCACATCTGTCCGACTGCATTCCAGTACAACTTATATATACTATGAATTAATGATTCAACATTATGATTATCTCTGTTCTTGATGATTCAAAACCATTCACAAAAAAAAAAAAAATCACAAACACATTAGAGCGAACAATGAGGTTTTGTTCCGAAAGCAAGTGCATGTGTAATAAAATACGTTTGTATGCAATATGTTATGATAACGGAATATGCTATATACTCAATGTTTTATTATAAACAACGCCAATGTAGTTTACTGTTTTTAATTGTTAGTTGTAGTTTTGCTATTTTTTGGAAAATTCCAAATTTTTGGAATTTTTAGCCACTTTGCATTTTAACTGAGTTAAGAAATTTAACAAATTTCTAGATTTTATTGTATGTTAGCGTATACTTTTGTGGTTTCAAAACATATTTATTAAATCTTGTTTTATTTTTTGTTGTTGTTTATTTACTTTTCACTTTTTCAAACACTTCTATTAAACTTGAGTGAAACCTTATTTTGTAACACAAGTACCGCTACTCTAACTTCTCACTTTACCCACAATTGTCCTACTAAACAAATCGAACTACTTTATATGATACAACAACACCAGCGTAAAAAGTCGAATCTGCATATTTTGTTTACTCCGCGATGCTGCTGTGCGAGCAGCTAGCTGTAACCGGCTGATGCGATAACCGCAAATGCTCAAGGAACACTACTAGGTTTTCGCTGTGGAAACCGCGCGACTTGCGACTTTGCGCAGCTGATGAAACCGTGACGACTGCGTAGCCCAGTACTTGAAAGTTTGTGAGATGCCTTTGTCGGTGGCGGCCCGGCTCACGGCTGACGACGCGCCCACCTCACAATTCAGCTACAGTTACATTCAAGACAGCTAGCCACCTACAAACAGCGCTACTATGTAAAGAACTTGTGTGTATGTAAGTATGTAAATGTATGCAAAGAAATAGGTCTAGCCGTCAAGCGATTACGTCAACGAGCTGCTCGCATACGTGATACTAAATAATATAAAAACAAAAACAAACAATTATTTATAAAAAAAAAAACACTAAGTTCTTCATAGAGAAAAATGTTTATAGTAAATGATGCTCCTTATGTTTTAATGATGACGTTAAAAATGAGAATTGTAACCAAAAGTACTGCTGAGTAATGTAAAAACCTAATGGGAGAATAACTGACTGGGGTTTCACTTTTGCTTTCTATTCTATTTTTTTTTTTTTTTTGTTTTTGCTTAGTGTTTTTATCTTTCTATTTTGTTGTTTCTTATATTCTTATTTTATTTTGCAATTGCCGGTTGGTGAAATACATATATGGAGTTCCAGCCGGCTAATTGGGAATGACGGCACATACCTGACAGGGTACCCAGCGCACATACCAAAAAAGATTCCTTTATCTATGTACACGTACTATATGTTTGTATGATATGCAAATGCCTTAAAATAACAAAACACGATCATGCTATTATCATTTTTTACATATGATCACGTCAAAGAGGCAAAATAGCACAAATTAGTTTGATATAAACTAAATATATACATACATATATACAATATTAAAATAAGAGTATTTATAAGAAATATTGTACACTCTTAATATATGTGTAAGGTTTTCTTTTTTTCGGGGACTGTCTTTCAAGACTTCAGTAGACCCTAGACTAATTCAGTCTGATTGGCAAAAATTCAATAAACATACCAACTATGGTAATGCTTATATTTAAAAAGTCACTAAATTGTCGAAAGCCAGCAAAGAAAATTTGTAAACTATGCAAATAACAGTTTCTTATGAAGTTGTTACACCAATTTACAGTCTCTCTCACTGGAAAATCATAAAAGTAATAAAAAACCAGTAAGGAAGGGCTAAGTTCGGATATAACCGAACATTTTATACTCTCGCAAAGTCAAATGGTATACTCGTTTGAGATTTCTTTGTGGATTGGCTGATATTTTCGGTAGAAGGTCAACTATAGGCACTGGGGTCCACATATTTAGTACTTAGGGGCTTGAACAGTTTTGGTTCAATTTAGACAATTTTTGGTCACAAGGTGGCATACTTTACACGTATTATTCACGCAAAGTTTTACCCCGATACACTCATTGTTGCTTGATATGCATAGTGGAAAGTGAAAGAATCAGATGGAATTGAAAATGGTGTTATATGGGAAATAGGCGTGGTTGTAGTCCGATTTCGCTATAACATAGAAATATGAAAAGAACGTTATGCACCGAATTTGGTTGAAATCGGTTGAGCAGATCTCAAGATATAGGTTTTCACCTAAAAGTGGGCTGTGCCACGCCCACTGTCTAATTTTGAACGCAGTTCCTATAAAGTCATCTCATACCATCTCAGAGATAAAATTTAATGTCTCTGGCGTGTTTAGTGCTTGATTTATCGCGCTTTTAGTAGTTTTTTACAGTACCGTTATATAACATATTATATGTGGAGTGGGCGGAGTTGCCATCCGATTTCAACTATTTTCAGACTGTAGGTAGAAGTTCTAGAAACATTTCCAGTGAATTTTGATATTATAGCATTAGCGGTTTAGGAGATATGCACATTAAACCTATTAGGGGCGGGACCACGCCCACATTAAAAAAATAATTTTAACTGCAGATGCCTCTCCCTAATGTAATCATGTGTACCAAATAACAGTCTTGTATCTTATTGCGGAGCTTAGTTATGGATTCAATTCAATTTATTTGTTTTTGATTAATGGCGTTTTGTGGGCGTGGCAGTGGTCCGATTACGCCCATCTGCAATACCAACCGTCTCACGGTATCAAGAAACATGTCTACCAAGTTTCATAAATATATCTCAATTTTTACTCAAGTTACAGCTTGCACGGACGGACAGACTGACGGACGGACAGACAGTCACCCGGATTTCAACTCGTCTCTTCATCCTGATCATTTATATATACATATATAACCCTATATATAACTCGATTAGTTTTAGGTGATACAAACAACCCTTAGGTGAACAAAACTATTATACTCTGTAGCAACAGGTTGCGAGAGTATAATAAATAAATAAAATGTAAGCTAATGGATTATTTATAAATTTGAAATATTAAAAGTTTTTCCCGAGTTAAAAAAATTGCTACTCGTATTCTGAGTACTCGTAAATGTTATCCTTAGGTCTGTCGTAATTGTAGGGCTGTGTGGCTGGCAAAGCTTTTGCTTCAATTTTTGTACTGGCAAAAGATCTGATAAATGTTTCAATATTATATTCAATAAGCTGGAAAAATATTACATTTGAAGAAATCTAATATATAAAATTCTCGTTTTACGTTGTTTGTTGCCAAACTTCTTCGAATCGGCTGAACCGATTTTGATGAAATTTGGTAGGCTTATCGGGTGTGATAATCGGCTAACATCTATTTTTCATACCTCTCAATGTTTAGGGTGGTCCACCCCATATATTATTATTTTTTTTTTTGGAATTTTTTTTTTGTTTTTGTTTTTTTTTCATGATTCAGCATTGAAAATTACATGCAATTCTAAATTTTCACACTTATGCCTTATACCCTATTCCGTTCCATCCACAGATCCACAAGATGACAATTGAATATTATAATTGTAGCATACTATAATTTTTATACTCTCGCAACCTGTTGCTACAGAGTATAATAGTTTTGTTCACCTAACGGTTGTTTGTATCACCTAAAACTAATCGAGTTAGATATAGTCCGTCCGTGCAAGCTCTAACTTGAGTAAAAATTGAGATATCTTTATGAAACTGGGTAGACATGTTTCTTGGTACCGTGAGACGGTGGGTATTGCAGATGGGCGTAATCGGACCACTGCCACGCCCACAAAACGCCATTAATCAAAAACAAATAACTTGCCATAACTAAGCTCCGCAATAAGATATAAGACTGTTATTTGGTACACAGGATCACATTAGGGAGGGGCATCTGCAGTTAGAACTTTTTTTTAAAAAGTGGGCGTGGTCCCGCCTCTAATAGGTTTAATGTGCATATCTCCTAAACCGCTAATGCTATAAAATCAAAATTCACTAGAAGCAAATGTTTTTAGCACTTCTATTGACGGTGTGAAAGTAGTTGAAATCGGGTAGCAACTCCGCCTACTCCCCATATAACGGTACTGTTAAAAACTACTAAAAGCGCGATAAATCAAGCACTAAACACGCCAGAGACAATAAATTTTATCTCTGAGATGGTATGAGATGACTTTATGGGAACCGCGTTCAAAATTGGTCAGTGGGCGTGGCACAGCCCACTTTTAGGTGAAAACCTATATCTTGAGATCTTCTCAACCGATTTCAACCAAATTCGGTGCATAACGTTCTTTTCATGTTTCTATGTCATAGTGCGAAAATTGGCGAAATCGGACTACAACCACGCTTACTTCCCATGTAACACCATTTTCAATTCCATCTGATTCTTTCACTTTCCAGTATGCAAATCAGGTAACAATGATTATATCGGGGTAAAACTTTGCGTGAATAATGCAATTAAAGTATGCCACCTTGTGACCAAAAATTGTCTAAATCGAACCAAAACTGTTCAAGCCCCTAAGTACTAAATATATGGACCCCAGTGCCTATAGTTGACCTTCTACCGAAAATATCAGTCTATCCACAAAGAAATCTCAAACGAGTATACCATTTGACTTTGCGAGAGTATAAAATGTTCGGTTACATCCGAACTTAGCCCTTCCTTACTTGTTATGCATAGTTTTATCAGGTTCCCGTTGAACACTGAATCAGCAAACATTACGGAGTAGGGATGAAAACGAAGCCGGATTCCTTTTTCCTACTCTCTATACAGTTTCCGCCCATATTCAGTTTAATTTTTCAGTACAACTCTCAAGTTAATTTTATTCTTATAGTGAATTTAACATTATTTCTTAATGCTAAAAATATCTATATCGCAGCCATTGACATTAAAAACCGTTGGGTGTTACCATATTTACCTCTGCTATCTCTTTGAGTAAAACATTCAATACTTGCATATATTAATGTTGAGTTCTGGAGTTCGACTTAATATAAATTGAATCGAACGAAATGAGTTATGCTTCCACGCTTATCGAATAAAGGATTTGAGTTGGTCGAGATTAAAATCTGTCACAATAAAAACCCGTGTTATATACCTTATTATACCCTGAACAGGGTATATTAAGCTTGCCACGAAATTTGTAACATCCAGTAGAACGGTGACCCCATAAAATATATACATAAATGATCATCATGATGAGCTGAGTTGGTTTAGCCATAAACGTCTGTCTGTCCCTCTATATATACTCGTCCCTCAGGTTTTGAATTGTGTACATCTTCTTCTCAAGAAGCTGCTCATTTGTTGGAATCGGACCTTTACAGCATATAGCTGTCATACAAACTGTATGATCGGAATGAAGTGCATGCGTGGAAAACTTTTTCATTTGACGAGATATCTTCACGAATTTTGGCATAGGTTATTACCTAAAGCAACAATGTAATATTCGAAGAAATTGTTCAGATCGGATCACTATAAAATATAGCAAAATATTAACTATTTTGTTTCTACCAGGGCTGCAAACTACTACCGGTTCGGTTCAGTAGTTCGAACCACTTAGAAAATACTTATACCGGTTCAAGAACCGGCTTATGAATATCTCTCAACCACGGTTCAGTTCTTTTCAAATAGTTCAGTTTTTTAAAACTGAATACATTTACCACACCTAGTATGGAAGATACTAATAGTTAGTATATACAATACATAGAGCGCTTCTGGGATTTCTTCTTTGAAATTTCGCCAACGATCTTCTCTGAAACGTCGGCGTGTTTATTTGTATGTGTCTCGCCAAATTTGCTGTATGTTTTCCTTTCATTTTAAATTTGCAATGTATTCACTGACCGTATAGTAATTTTTGTCAAAATAAAATTTTTGTGTACTGGATTCACACTCATTTGAAATATATTTACAAAATAATGACTTTAAAAGTATGCCAACCTTCTGAGAGCACAGACGCGCTTATTTGATATTATGCTACAAACAGTAACCGACATTGCTCCCTTCCGTACTTACCGCCCGTATCAAACCTAAGTTGTCAAAAGTTATGCTCGTAGTTGCAACGCAGAAATCAGTGTTGTTCTCTTTTCATTTCACCAATGTTGCCATTTTTCTATTTGTATACACGATTTTTCACACATTTAGTTTTTTA